CATGGAGACCAAAGGCACCCAAGGTCAACACTGCAGAAGGAAGGTGGAGCTGGGTTTGGAAATTCAGTCTATAGGCTTCAGAGAGCTCTATGATCACAACACTGCCCAGCCCAAATCACTGCTCACATCCATTTTTCTTTGAAACTATTTATGACTTACCACCACTGTCAGAACTTCAGCCTTTATATCAATTTCTTGTCAAACAAAAAAAAAAATGAATTGCAGCTGATAATTATTCAGGCTCTTGTTTGTTCAGGAAGGGCTTCTTAGTCAAAGTGCAGGAGAATCATGCAGAAATGACAGCCTGTACAAAAATCTCATGGACTACACAAGGAATTAAGTTTCCAATCTGTTTTGGAAAAATAGATACTGAAGAAATAAGCATAATACAACACCTTCTGGAGAAAACTATCTACTTAGCAGTGTAAAAAGAGGCCTAAATGTCTATCATCTTAACCAAAAGCCCCATTGGAGGAGCCATGAGCTAATTATCTTTCCTTCAAAAGCCCTTTCCATGGAAGCACTGCTCTTCCTGATCCTCTCCAAATCTGGTATGTCATTAGCTTTCAACTGGGTAGCTCTGAAATTGACTATCATTTACCTTCAATAGAGCTAACCACACTTAAAAAAAAGCCCTTAAACTTTAAAAACAAATAAACAACACCACCATGAAGATTTCCTGGCAGAAGAGTGACAGAGAACAACTTTACATCTGTACCCACGTGAGCTCAGGCTCCCAGAAGACTACTCACATGGGCAGATCTCAGCACATCGGGAGCTAAAAACTAACCTGTGTCTTCTGAGAGACTGGAGGTAAATGCTTACTGCCTTTACCATTTGAACTTATCCTAGACCTTACCTCCAAACCAAGAAGCCTGCTGGTGTACAACTTTTCTCAGGAAAACTAGCATTGTATTCATGTGAAGCATTCATTTAATCATATGGCTGCAGGATTCACAGCTGAGGCGGCAAGAAAAACACCTCCAGATCATCACCTTACATTTTCTGCCTCTCCCACCAGGATACCCTGAGACAAACAAGCAAAGCACTCACAAAACTCACAGGCTTTTCACTGCCTTTTGAACATGAGAAGCCACCATTCCCTCTGTTAAAGCTTGCAATTCAAGTTTTTTCCTTAGAAAGTTTGATGCAACAGCAAAAGGAATCAGAGGATTAGATGGAAAGTCTCCTCATTATCCCTTCTTTGCCTAGAGGAGTACTTGGCACAGCAAGTTGTAATGTGCCAAAAGAATGCCTATAATTACAGTTAAGATTGAGTAAAGAATCCCTCCATCAAGGAGTATTTCCTATTTTCCATAACTTTACATTAAAATGTTTATCAACTTGGCTCATTCAATATTTTTCTTATCATTCATCACCTTCAAGTATGAATATAGAGAAATACACAAGCACTTTCCAACTGTCCACATGATATGAACTGTTTAGCATTTGTTCATTACGCTTCACCATACATTGCCTTCTTGGAATTTGCCAAGCAATAGCAGCAAATCCATCCCACGAAGAAACAAGTGTTACTGTACACTCATGTCAACCATAGCTGCATGTACAAAGCTTTCCTCATATTTAAAAAAAAACAAACAAACAACAAAAAACACCCACAATCAAACCCCAAAGTAAAACACGTTATTATCTACCTTCTCTGAAAAATAACCAATTGTAGATTAAGTAAATATTTTCAATAACATACCAGCTCTGAGAACATGTCCTTTGATCCTATCCAGCACAGCTCTTCATACACACCAACCCTTTTGCTCCTATTCTGATCCCACGACAACTGTAGGAACCCATACATATGAAACAATAGGCAAAAATCTATGACTATTATGACTTCCCTGTAGGTCTTCACCGCTCAGTATTTCAGCGTAGGACATAATTTTACTTGTACCCATTAGATTGTAGATCAAAACCAAAAATGAAATCAAGATATGGGACTGTAAGACATTTCTTCCCCTGAGCTTCACACAGCACTCATCGTGTTTGCCCTTAACTGACATTTCCAGGGCAATTAGGCAATACTTCATGCAGTAGTTACTCGTTTATAAATTGTAAGTAAGCATTTCAGTTTCCATAATTGTGATCTAGCACTTAGAACCTCTCGCACCTACAATAACATATAATTTATAATTTATATCAGTTTCAGCATTCTTTCCTATTACATTTTTGTGCTTTATGCTTTTACACCACAGTCGTGACCGTAATTCCTACTCATCACAGTTTTCTTTCATTTACAATCATTCTTGCACAGAGAAGTTTTGCTTTCAAAGCAAGCTGCATCACCAAAACCTCATATATTTACAGAAAACACCAGCAGGTGGACAGAGCAACTTTGAAGTCCACACCTATGGCTGCAAACAATCTCCATGCCTTGATTCACAATGAACTTGAACCACTTGCCTTAGAAGTTAGCATCTTCTACAAGCTTCAGTCTCCATCTACCTACTGAAATGAAAACTGTTTCAGAGCAAGTTTGTTTTCAAGCTCACCACCCCAACAGGGTTTTTCATACCTTTTTCATACCACGAGTTATTTAAGATTCTTTTTTTCTTCCTACTCATCTCAATGACTGACTCATTTTGAGGTCTGCATTCACTTATTCTTCCCTAGCACCTGTATGTTAGACTGACTCTTCCATGAGAAACTGGATACAAAACACTGTTTTTACACATCCACTGTTCTGATAAGCAGGCATGCTTTCACGGTACTTAAGAAAAAAAAGTCACAGAACTATACAATACAGCACAAGCTGCTCTTTGAAAAATATTCTTTCATTTAGGTAAAAGGTGAACAGATTTAAATGTGTAAAGGATAATGCCAACTTACTGAAAATAAATTACAATCAACATGCCGCTAGCACATAACTGTATTATAAACAACACCTGCACAATTTGTCTTATTCCAGAAGAATCTTGCTACTACCCAGCAGAAGAGAAGAATTAAACAGTTCCTCTTTCCATTGAAGGACATCAAGAGGAGATGAAAAAGCACACACTGCTGCTTTAAGTCATTTTGTTGAGAGAGAAATGGGAAAAATATTACTGACATCTGCTGATCAAAATTAAAAATAAAAAGCAGTGCCTTGCTCAAAACAGAAAGCTTTTTTGAAAATGAACAGCAAAATTCAAGTCTTGCAGTAAGTCTTCAAAACCAGCCTAACACAACACATTTCACTTGAAAGAAAAGAAATTGGGCTGTGGACAGTTTATTAAGAAGTCAGAATTACCACGTTCAGGTTACTCTTACGTTCCTTAATAAACCAAGCTTTTCTCAGAGACATTAGTTTCTTTTTAATAGCTAAGAACATTTCATACCAATTTTAAACTTAACCTGTGGTATTCAAAACAAAGGCTCTCAGAGAACATTATTTTTCTTATTATTTTAGCAATCACAACTGTCTTAATGTTCAGACACTGCATTCTTAACAACCATAAGTAAGAGTATATGGACTAGTCACATCTTGCATTTCTATTCTCATGAAACACAGTGAACCATCTGCAGAGATCTGGTGTAGACTCTACTTCTGCTCTGCCTGTTCTGCTAACAGGCAGCCACTATTCGGGTGACACTCAAGAACTCCACTATCTTGGCTTTGGTTTCACAGATCACAATATGACACGAAACAAGAATAGGAATTTCCCTTCTCTATAGTAGGACAAAGATGCATCACACTTCCCAGGCAAACAGCTCCTAACCATGAAGTGAGAGGCAGTAACAACTGTACAGAAGAGATCACACTTGAATTGAACTGATAGACAACTGCTTACAGTCATGTCAGCTATCACCAAAGCTCTCCACTGCTACTTCCTCCATCCTGCTTGACAGTTTTACTGTCAAAGGTTTAATTTACATCAAGTTTCTCTTGATGCTCACAGCTAATCTGGGACATCTACCGGATCCTTTGTGCTACTCACACCAAAAGGTAACACTGGTTTCCTTAAACCAACGTATTCCTTGGTTTGGCCAAGGAATAAATATGAAGTAAGAATACCACTGACTATTGTTCTCAGTTAGATCTCTCAGAATTTACCCATAACACAACCACTTTCCCTTGCTTTTTATATTCCAGTAAAAAAAAACCTTTATTGGAAAGATTACAGATACTACCACAGAGTAAAAAGGTATCAGCTAGAAGTTTACCTTTCAATTAAGACACATCATACATGCACCCACTTTTTATCTTACAGCACATGTGGAACCATACGCAACAAAACAGTCATGGTAATAACATATTTTGAAATACAGCAGTTATACTTCAACAGATCAAGGAAGCATCCAAAGATTTGTAAGAGAATACAAAAATTCAAGTGAAACATCACTCACACCAGCAATAACTTTAAAGGGTTACTCTTGTAATATTCAAGACATCTAACATAAACACTACACTTAGATCACTGCATCATACTGTATTATTCAGCTAATGGATTCATCCATTAGATGCAGTCAGAACTAAGATGTCTCCAAATATTTAGAAACAAAGCTCTAGTACAATGTCACCCTTTTCTCACCTGCATTAAGTCTCTGCAGAGAGAGCTCTTCAGTCTTTGATAGTTGTCAATGAGAAGATTTAATGAACATCTATTTTCAGAACTAATGGCATCCCTCAAGGATTTCTACCAGCTTTCAGCTGTTACTCACATCTGTGCTTTTATTTCTCGGAGGTGAGGAGAGGTGGGAGTACAGAATATTGTCCAAGCCTCTCACATCTTCTTTAACACAGACTGATAATAAAAATGCACACAAATGAACTACATTTATTTCTCTGTTTTTTAATCATTATTTCATATTATCATTTTCCAAGAAAGTACATATGTCTAAATAAACCAGAAACAATACCAAGCCAGTACATAACAGACAACTCAAATTAATACCACGGAAAAAGATGGCTCTGTAGTTCAACCACCTGAAACTGAGTCACATCTTTTTCAAGTTCTAGACATTGTTCCCCAAAAGGAGCTTTATGTAATCTGTGTGTGCTGACCTACCAGACTGTGATGGGTCCCATCCACATTAGCACCAGACTTGTGAGATTTCAGAACTTCACTGTAATCTGCTGCATTGAAATTAGTCTTCCATACCATCACCTGCAGAACAAGGTCAGATGGCTAAGTTACCTTTATGAAAACTTTTCACTACATTTGCTTAGAGGTTGATTTCACCTCCACGTCAGAGAAGGCTGATGTTACTGAACACAGATGTAGTTCTCAACCTGCAAGTGTCTTCCTTCAACATTTCTTGGGTTAGGAACATCATGAAACTAGACATACCTAGAGAACTTTGAAGCAACACACCAATTATACCATTAAAACCACAAATACATTAAATACCATATGTAGAATTACAGCACTTAGTCACACACCAAACTAGTTGCTGTTTTATCAATACATTCATTCACAGGAAAAGAAGAGATCAGTACTTTGAGACTAACATTAGACATTTTGAGCTAGTTTGTCAGCTAATAAGTCTCACTTAAAAGCATGGCCTCTCCATAATGCAACATTTATTTCAAAAGAGAAGACTTGTAATTGAACCTCTAACACAAAAACCACTTCAACACATAAAGAGCAAGTCTACAGGGCAAAATCCTTAAGTGATGACACTCTAAAAAGTCAAAAGAGTTTAAGGGCATCAATCAATTATTTTGAAAGTCTGAAAGACATTATAAATCTCAATAGTTCATTTAGTTATCAGAAACATTGTTGTATACACAGCTTCAATGCTGCCTTCTGTGAAATGTAGAAGGGTTTTTATTTTTTTGTGCTTACATAGATAACCAATGTGGCCATTCCAGTGAGTAATAGGAAAACACGATGCTCTTTATTGTACAGAATAATTTCTTCACAGCTTCATAGATCAGTGACCAGCCAGAAGGCCTACTATTCTATTCAGTATTTGAATACATCTTTTTGAATGAACGACATGTCTAAATTTCCTCATACACGTTTTCTCTCTGATCTCTAGAGACGTGCTGCACTATCTTCATCAGCTCTCATGTTTCTCTTGGATCCAGAAAGCTAGTATTCAGCAAGATCTGTCCCATAGAAAAATCTTGTACATATACAAAGACCAATGTTGCTTTTAATACATGCACACACGTATGTGAAAGTTCTTCCTTTGTACACAAGAGAAAGAAGCACTGCTGGCATTTTCAGAAACAAACCTAACAGGAGAGGGGCAACTCCTTCACGAAAGCTAATGGCTGATGCTCCCAATGGCTCAGAAACACATGCAACCATGAGCTGCAATGGCACTGATCACCAAAAATGTCAGTATGACCAAATGACAAAAACACACCTTCACAAAGCACCTTTCTGAGGAAGCACTGCCATGCAGTGTCTCAGTTAAAATACCCAGAGGGAGATATTTTAAAGAAAACGAATGAGTCTCATCTGCAATGAAAAGAGGTCCCAGTAAGAGGAAAGACAGAGGACCTGACAAAATAAAAGCTTTTTACAGGAATCTGCACAGTGGAAAAATGCAGGTAATAACAAAACCTCTCAAAATAAAAGTTAAAAATCGTTAAAAAAAGAAAATCAACTTCTTAGCTATGCCTAAAAATCAAAGACAAAAATAGGACCGGTGAAAATTTTTGAAAATAAATAACAAAGAATTGCTACAGAAGTCCAACTTCCAGCAACGCCAGGTGTTCTTATGGGAGAAAGAAACAACAGCAAAGATACTTATTTGCTTCTTGTGTTAGATAGCCATCAAGAGCAAATCTTAATAAATTGATGCTAGTATAATTTTATAGGAAAAAACTAGATGAGTTTCACCTCTTTAAAATCCCTTTAATTTTTTAAAGGAAAAAACATGGTATTAAATGGACAGGATGATAAATTACACCACCTATCTTAGCATAAAATGGCATTAAAATGCAGCTGATCACAAAACTGACATGAACTACAAGCAGGACTGATTTCCTTCTCAATAGTATGCTGAAAATATATATTGCATAAAGAAGCTAACAAGGCATTTCATTATGGTCCAGACATCTCTGCTACGTTTTTGCCTTCTCACGCAGACAACAGAAAAGAAACCCCAGCATGTTTTAAACAAATGTGAACCTGGATTATAATTCAGGACCAGAAGCAAAAGGAATAGAGAAGTGCTTCATCCACAAAAACCCTTCACTAGCAGTACGATATGCTCAGGTTCTCAATCCCAGAGTACATATCAAGCTCAGAGAAAGGCCCAGCTCTGGCTCCAACAGCCATGTAATTGCAACATTTGCAAAGCTTTGCTCCAGGCCCCTACTAACAGAACGATCTCATGTGTGATCAGAATCAAATTCACCTAAGGAGAGAGCTTCCTCTCAAGTAGAACTGAAAGGACAGATTTGTAGGAGGATAAGAGCAAAGCAAATTGCAAAACATAAGCTCCCAGCCAGTGGAGCAGTGAACTCTGGAAGAACACTGAGGGAAGCATCACCACCTGCTTCCTCATCTCTTTGCCCAACTCTCAGAACTAGGCAGAGGCAGATCAGGAGACAGACTCAGGCAATAAGAACAGATCTTCAGGCTGTCTCAATGCAGGCAGTTGCACACCCCCCTAGCCTATTCTCCATCAGCAGCCAGAAGACTCAAAAATGCATATCACAAGGCCTGTATGCAGGGTAATATTTTCTGTTGTCCATACTACACTTCCAACTAGCCTACCATAAGTGCTTCCTCAGTGAGAAAATATTTATTGTTACTTTTCAACATTGGTTCTCTCTCTGAAAGCAGTAAGATGCTTAAAACAAACAAACAGTAACAGGGCACATAACCATAAAATGAAACCAGTCACCCACCTGCTCATCAGATCCTCCAGAAGCAAAGAAGTCTCCTGTTCTGGAAAATGCTACACAGGTGGCTGGACCCTGTGAATAAAATTTAAAGACATTTAAAACAAATATGGAAAAAAAAAAAAAAAACCAATCTCTATTGATTACAAGGTATTTCTCTTGTGACATCAGCAAGATGTCAAAAATCCTTCTCTGTCAGGTAAGCAGCCCACAGTTACTGCACTAGAATAACTGGCACTTGGTTATCCTTTCCTCCACTTTCACTTGCAATATAAGATACTAGCTCTTCATTATCCATAGCTTTAAGATGAAGTGAGGAACAAATCAGGTTTTACAACTCCAGGCTTTGTCTTTTTCACCCTCAGTCATCCCCTTCCCTTTAGAATTAGCATTTCCTAAAGCTCCTGCTCATTTCTTAAAAAGTGGAGAAAATGCTGAGTTTGTTACGGGCAGCCTCCAGTGACACACCTGAAGAGATGGCTGAAAGAGGAAAAGGAGGTTTCAAAACATACTGATACAGGTAATGCTGCATCAAATGGTGTGTTGACAGTTAGAAAAAAAATACTGCCACTACTGACAAGTCTGAGCATTCAGAAATCATTCACTGTGCCCCATAAAAATACAGGGTTTCTTTTAAAAAATGTTAAAAAGGATGTTGATTCCACACAACCTCTGAAGTCGTGGCAATTACAGCCTATGTTTTCCAAGTTTCTCTTCGCACCATCAATACTACAAATGTGAAAGAAAAACCCACTAAACTAAGATTTTCCACATAATCACGTATACCTCCCAGGTCTATAACTCCAAGAGTTACCCCAAATCTTCAGGAGACTGACAACAAGAGAGGACACATTTCATGGACTGCTATGAACAACAGAATCACTACAGAAAATAGCACCTTCCCTCCATGCACCACCTCAACAGCTGTCTTTCAATAATATGTAGTTGCCAATAAGGGACAGCATAAAACAGTGGCTAATGACAAAAACAGTAATAAGTAGTACTAAATGAAAGAGGTGAAAGGCAATCAGTTCTATTATGATAGAAAAGGTTTTGTTTCCCTCAGCCACCACGTGCTCTCATAGATTACTCTGTATGTTCCATGCAGACTGCTCATTACAGAAGATCTTGCCAGTCCACCATGAAATACCTTCACATCATGCCTGAGCAGTTACCAACCAATGCAATCAATTTGCATCAATCTGGCCAAGGTTAGAAGAATTTCCAATCTAGGAGTCTGTACAATCTGGATAACTGCGGAGGATTCAAGGCAGGATACAGTTATTCATTTTGATGACCTAGTCATCAAGGTCCATAACAAACAAGCCCATTCTCAGCGCAGGAGGAAGAAAAGACAAGGCTGTCTGAGCACCACTGCAAAGAAGAATAGGTGGCAGAAGAGTGGCAGATGGAGCAGCATCAGCAGAGCATATCTGCCTTTGCACACTAGCTTCAATTTAAGGAGTACTACAGTACAATTTTGGAGGAGGCAGCAATGCTTCATATCCCCTCACACGTGGGATGTGCAGACAAGCAACAAATGGACACCTGTAGCAGCAATGGAGAGTGCAAGAAGCAGGCAGGTGTTCCATACAGCACTGTAGTTGGCCACTGTTACTAACCACTTCACTACAATGTGACAGTAGTTGTCACATTAAGTGAAGAATAGAAGACCAGCTTAAAACAGATTCCTTCTTAATAGATTTATGGAAGAGATACAGAAATTAATGTTTCCAGGATCCCACCTTCGTACAGCACAGGCACCTGTATTTTGAAGAAGCCTTTCATTTTGGGAAGTCATTTCTGAGTCTTCAGATGTTACTGACTGAAGTACTACTTGAGCAAAAGCATGAATTTCACATCACAAATTTATTTTAATATGTTTCCAATCTTTAAGCAAGAAATACATGGGAAGGATGAGCCAGGAAGCTAAACAAAGCTGGGAAATCATTAAGTGTGTTGAAGCACAGGCACAAGAGACAAACTGTTCTAGTCAGAATAAACAGGCAAGGATCCAGACAGTTTCTATTTTTTTCTTAATGTCAACTGTTAGACCCACTACCTTGCACCGTTTGAAGCCTGAGTTTCTGTCAAAGCTGGAACGAGCAGAGGCTGAAACAAACATTTCCAGAGGATGCCTATGGCCGAGCTGGCTGAAAAAGAAAGCTGAGTTTGCAGCAGACTGAAAAACAATCAGAAAAATCACCACTACTACAATAAGAAAACTCCACCACATTTTGAGTTATCTTCTTTCAAGTAACAGCATGTATCTAAGAAGACAGGTAAGCAGCTTCTCATTACTTGCTACAAGTTACAGGAATGGACTGTCCTGCTAGGAGCTTTCTGACAGGAGCTCACGTCTTCCCAAAGAGCTGTAGATGTGAAATTCAGATCCAGCTTATTACTGTTTTTCCTTTGTTCTTTCCCTCTGTCTTTAAAAAGGTGAACTCTTCATTATAAATCTTAAAGCCTGAGGAATACACAGAGATTACGTTTGGGATAAACACACTACACTCACTGCACTTGGTGTCATGCGGTCCTTCCTGCCTTCAGATCTGCTGGCACAAGATTATACCAGCAAAACTAGCATTTCAATTAGGAGTTCTAGACTCCTTAAGAAACACTGGATGATATTTCCATGCTATCATTTCACTGGAAGCAATTTCAAAAGGTTTCTTAGGCCTTCTAATAGAAACATTCTGTAGAAATCTTGCTGAAGTACACGCACAATCATTAGTGTGACTAAGCTTTGGAGTCAGCATTAATTACTGCAGATATTTCAAACAAGAGACACTGTCACTTATCAGCTGAGACAAAGTGTGCTTATGCCACCTTCTCCCACCCACTTTCTCCAACAGTTCAGCTGTCTGACCACACCATGAAGAATGCAGATCCTCTAAAGTAAATGGAAAAACGAAAGACAAGTAAGCAGAACGAACACAGGCAGAAACTGCAAAATATTGCTCAAAGAAAGTTTTCTGAATGAAGCAGAAAACGTAAGAGAAAGGAACCATTCACACTATCTATGTCAGATGTTATATTTAAAAGAATCAGTCTCCTGAGGTACAGTTAGGAGGGTGAAGAAACTATTCAAGACACTGCTTAAGTCTCATAAGATTCGGTGTTTAGGAACCGACAGAACTGTGAAGACTGCAGAACAGCAGTGTGTTGCAAAATGGTTTCATCAGTATAAATATTTCAGTGTATTTAATCAAAATTTAGTGCAACGCAAATCGCATAAAACCAGGTACTAAACTGACTCCAAAGTCACAGCGTTCTGAAAGGGAAAAAAAATGAAGTACAGCAGAAAATATTCCTCCCAACACAGAAACTGGTATCAAAAGCCAATTGTACTTTGGTAAGTTCAAAGAAGGGAGACAAACAAATTGACAGACACAGCATCCTCTACAGATTTTTTTACACTAAGTCTATTTGCTATGTATATTTACAGCTCTCCTCCCAGATATAACAAACTATATATGTTCTATGTGTTGCTGTAGCAAGCACATAAAACATCAACACTAATCAATGTTCCACTCATTTCCTCCTGTAAGGAAGGAGTGTCAGGGAGAGTGGAGACACACACAGAGAGTCTTCAAAAGGACACACTGCTCTCACTCTGGATGCAGCCTACAGCCCTGGAAACACAGACAAAAAAAAGAAAAAAAAAGGAGAGAAAGCTATACAAAAGCAATGATAACAGGATTATATCTAATCCTCTGCTACCAATGCACAGTATCTTAAGCAATCTAATTGATATGCAGGCTATCCCCAAGAGACAGAGATTACTTTCTCCTTTCCCACCTCTAAGTTTTCTCACTTAGAGAATCATAGAATCATAGGGGTTGGAAGGGACCTCTATCTATCACCCAGTCAAACTCCTGCTAAGCAGGTTTCCTATAGTAGGTTGCACAAGAAAGCAACCAGGCTAGTATTTGAGTATCTCCAGAGAAGGAGAGCCCATAACCTCTCGGGTTCCCATGCTCTGCAGCCCTTCAAGTAAAGAAGTTTTTCGTAATGTTCACATGAACCTTCCTCTGTTCCAGTTTGTGCTTGCTGCCCCTTGTACTGTCGCTGGGCACCTGCAAAAAGAACCCATGGATCAAGGCTAACAACCACATAGTGTTCATTGCCTTAGCAATCCAGTTTGATCAGCTTACACAGAACAAATTGCAGCCTTAAGAAAAGATGCTGAGAACTATTCTGAATGGCTTTAACATAGTCTGCCTTCACTGCCTTAGAAGGATGGAATCTGAAGCCAAGATACAGATTACAGGACTCAATCACTGGCAGAACGCTAGTAGCATCTGTAACAGTTGGCAAGGCCATGACAAGAGACAGAAGGAACAGCATCTGTGAAAACAAAGCTCTCAAACATGGATCTAAAAATAGATCTCTCTAAAAAAAATACTGAAGAGAGAGGCCAAGAGTTGGTTTGGAGGAATGGAAGTAAGCTTGGAGCATGAAGTCATATTTGCACACAGATGACAAATAAATGGGTACCATCTATAAATAAGAATCAGATGATCACAGAGAAAGTCTTATGGACTAGCTTTTCCTCCACAGCAAAACTAGTGAAGGAAAGCTGATGATTTCACAAAGAGCAGGGCCAACACCATCAGCAGTCAATTTAACTCAAGAGAGGAAAGATTTTAGCTCTAGTGTAACAGAAGGAACAAGAGCCAGTCTGGAGAGAATCCAAGATTCAACCAGTGGTAAAAGGTTTAATGACACACATCCTCTGAGATCAAAGGAGGGGCAGGCAGTTGACTAGAGTGACAAGTGGGGTCAACAACGCTGACAGAATTATTTAATTTTACTTTTTAAAAATGTGGGAGAAACTAATTCATACTAGAGAAGAGCCAGACAACAATGAAGAAAGGTGCCAAGAGCTGGAACAAGGCATTTCTAGAGGATATGAATAACTTTTTTCAAGTACAACTGCTTCCTTTGCTGCCCACAGGAGAGAATATACCAGCCAGCACATTCATTCAAACTCTCTTAGAATGGACTAAATAGTACAAGGAGGAATCACAGAATGGCCAGGGTTGGAAGGGACCTCAAGGATCGTGAAT